CGACTGAGATGGTTGGGCCACGTGTTGTGTATGTCTGAACACCGTTTACCCTGTTCATCTTGTTGTGCTAATGAGATATGGCAACTTGGACCGATACACATATGTGCCTGATCCTACGTTGTAGCTGACTGATATATACAATGAAAAACTTTTTAATAAATAAATAAATAATTTACACCAATCAGCAATTATTCATTTCATCAACCGGTAAAAATAAACAAACTTCGTCGGTAATGTGAAGTATATTATTTGTTTATTTGAACACATAAAAAAATTAGTACAAAAGGGCACACCGAATACAAATGCGTCAAACAAATCATTTGATTTGTGTGTGGGCTGTGATACTACTGCCCGAGTGCTCAGACAGAAGTAGGTGATGTGAATTTAAACTTTTCCCCATTGCACAAGCAGGTGGTTATCAGGACTCAATAGCTAAGTGGATAAAGCGATGGCGTTTGAAGCGCACTGTATTGGGTTCGAGTCCCAGAATGAACATCCAGCTGACGAGTCCCAAGTACGACGAAACGCGCGTCTTGGATTCCGCTGCTAGCCACTACCCATCTTTGCCTAAATAAGTGAATTTCGGTAATTTTTTATATATTTCAAAATTAGATTAATTTGAAAAACTATTGAGATCATAGATGTCAAGTCAATGTAATGGAATCTCAGAGCGAGATTCTGTGTTTCTTCCATAAAGAATTTATTAAATGAGCCATAGTAGCGCTACCCATTGTATATCATTTAGTTTTAGGGATCAAAAATTGGTGTCACACTGTACAGCAAAATAATATCTCGCAAATATCAGAATATTTCAAGAATTGAAACTACCCCATTAGTCAGTAAAAAATCCCCTTAATAAACGTAATAGTGAACCGATTCAGACACTAACTACTTTATGATGTCAAGCTAAATATAAATGAAAGCCAGTGTATGAGGTCATAGCAAAAAAATTTCAAACATTACCAGACGTCATCGGATAGTATGTAATCTTCGAATCTTACTTTATAAGGTTCTAACCTAGTAAAACTGAGTTAGATTGTGGCTACTGGTGGGATCCATAATGCACATTTAACCACATTTTGAATTTGTCATGTAGATATATCTGTATCGCAGTATTGAAGCTTATAGTAGGACTTAAAGCCAGTGAAGTTCGCTTGAAATGCCAACTAGTTTCCATTGAGCTTTAGATTCCCACTAACACCAACACTAGGATGAAGATAGATCTGGCTAACGATTTTCAATAAGATGAAATCCACGTCCTAAATTTAATTACCGGCTATAATCCAACTTTACTATATACATTTATTTTTATCAATCGTGGTGGCTAACACAAGTATTACCTAAGGTTAACTACAATCCACCTATGTATACAGTGGTGATTAGAGTAAATGTAGGTGGGACAATAGGCAAGGGATGGTTAGATTACAGTGATATAAATTTATTGAACCACTAATTGATTTTTTGAACCATATTTATAGACAGGAATCAATGGATCAATCATGATGGAATCACTTTTTATCTTCTACTAAACCTTGACATTCAATATTACTTCATAATTTATGCAGCATAAATTTACGCACCCATTTTGGACCATTTTTTTTTGTGTGTGTTTAGTTTTTTTTCACTAACAATGATACTAATACTCTTACTATTCGAACTCATTTACGATTTTTGTAACTGTGAAAAGATTTGTAAACTGTATACAGACATAATCCTCTAAATGATGAAAATAAATGATCAAAAGATTTGAAATAAAATAATATTCCATCACCTATTGGTTTTCGATTTCCCACATACATCCTCTTCATGTATGAAATCATTGACTGATAGTCTGAAATATTTAAGAAGTTGTAACTTGATTGGCTAGGGCTTCATGCCATCAAGTGTGGTCAATAGATGGAGATCTTACGAGACAATGGTTCAAAATTAATATCAATGGCTTAGATACATTTGTTTCACATTTTTTTTACTGAATCAGGAGTTTCAGTATTATATCGTATACTTTTTAACCAATTAATTTCCTCATTTCGAATCGTATTCCCTTACTTTTAATCTTTTTTTTCATATTACTGATACTAAACTTCTTCCAAATTGATATTTATCTTCTAAAATCTCATGTTGTTGTGTTCATGTGGTATGACAACTTGAAGTAATACATATGTCTTAAGTCATACACTGAATATCTCTGATTGACTATTCACTTTAATATCTTAGAATTTTTGTTGGTTTTGTCCGCGATATTATAAAGTCAGGTTTACTTACTTACTTAATTACTTACGCCTGTTACTCATAATGGAGCATAGGTCGCCGACCAGTATTCTCAAACCCACTCTGTCCTGGGCCTTCTTTTCTAGTTCGATTTAATCGCTATTCATTCGTCTCATATCTATCTCTATTTCCCGGCGTAATGAGTTGTTTGGTAGTCCTCTTTTCTTTTGGCCTTTAGGATTCCAAGTGAGGACTTGTCTTGTGAAGCAGTTCGGTGCTTTCCTCAATGTGTGTCCTATCCACTTCCAGCGTTTCTTACTCATTTCTTCCTCCACTGGAATCTGGTTTGTTCTCTCCTACAGTAGGTTGTTGCTAATAGTGTACGGCCAACAGATCCGAAGTATTTTGAGTAGACAACTGTTAATAAACACTTGTATCTTCTGGATGATGGCTTTCGTATTTCTCCAGGTTTCCGCCCCATACAGTAGAACTGTCTTCACATTTGTATTGAAAATTTTGACCTTGGTGTTGGTTGATAGACAGTTGTTTGGAATTCCAGATTTTCTTCAGTTGTAAATATGCTGCTCCTGCTTTTCCGATCCTTTCCTTCACATCTGCATTAGATCCACCGTGTTCAACTCTGCCTGAAGTCCCTCCGGGGGCTACTGCCGCTCCCCAGCGCGGATAAAGGAGGAGGGTTGGACATGGGGTTAGAGACCCCATCCCGTAGAAAACTAACTCGCTAAAAAAACGCTAACCAGAAAAAAAAAGTAAAGTCGGGCAGCTTGATCCAATCCCCTTATTGTATATATCTATTGGTATATTAAATACATTTTCATCCACAAAGTGTTATACATGTGCCAGAGATAAGTTCAATTAAGATATTGATGACAATGTCAAACTAGACAAGATCACTTTGTCCAAGTTTATTAATTCAATAAAATTTAAGGTCAAATAATGGTGAAAACAAAGATGAAAAATAAATGATTAATCAGACAGTATCCGATTCTTATCAAGGTTATCAGATCTACACTGTTTCATCTTGCATAAACAACTTCAGAAATTTCATAGAAATGAATATTTTGTATAAAAGGTTATAGGCTGAAAAATTCATCCAAGATTTTCTATACTAACAAGTAATATTACAAGTAGTGAACATAAACAGATTAATATAAGAACCAATGTGATAGATACACTAAGTTGAATTACTATTAGTTTTGACCTTGTCATAAATGATCAGATTTTAACAACTTTTGAACAGAATTTGTTCAAATTTATTATTTTCCTAGAGTCAGCAGAAACGATCACCAAGTATTAATGAATGCTATATCTGTTTAGTCCTTAGTGGTGACACGGTTTTCCCAACTAAGAGTTTCCCATTGACCAATTCCAACCATTTCAAACCTAGACTGTGGAATCAATCAAATCTAGGGAGTGTTGAACAATTACTTTACTTTAATATGAAACTCTTTAGCAACTTAAAACCACTGTTCGATCATCAGGAATAAGACCATGGACTTTTAAGTTAGAATCTGACTGTCTAAAGATAAAGCGTTCGTCATAAAACCGGAAGGATCCTAGAAACTCTTTTCTGAAGAGCCTTGTAGTAGGACAAAACAGCTTTTTACAGTTCCGTGATTTTCGATGGTTACCAAGATCGTGTTAGTCCATGACAAAGTCCGATTTCAAATGATCTCCACTGACTTACAAGTCCAAAATTTTAAATTATTTGCCAGTGTTTCATACTAAAGTCGTTTGACTGCAATGGGAAAACTGATACTATTGCTACTTCTAAAACTTTGGTGTTCATCTTGATAATTTCTTCTCAGTGTCCTGATATGGTACGATGGCAATCTCGACCAATTCAAAAATATAATAGATTCTATGTTTCTCATGATTGACTAAAAGACTGACAAATCACCGATTTACTTATTGCATAAGTGTTCACAGGACATAAGTTTATTGACATATAACAACGTATAACTTTCGTATAAATGTATATCTATTCAAATTGTTACGGTTTACAGCAATCATCAGCATAAAATGATGACATCTGTCGTAGTTGAAAACTTAACACCGAAAATATAAGTTAAGTGAAACAAATGAAATTCAATAATTAAAGTCATAAAATGTTACTGTACATTGTTTAGGGTTTAAGTGAAGATCTAGGAACTAATGCATTTGTGTCATCATCACAGTCAAAGTGAACCAGATTACATTGTTTCTATGATAATTGATTGTAGTTATATTGTTAACCTCAACTTCATTAGAATACACTATTATACAAAGCTTAGGTCAACAGTCAAACATTTCGTGGACGAATTTGTCATGAACTGATTTGGCAGCTTTTAGTTTTCCCTTTTTGCATAAGACATTCTCACATAAAACATACTTAACAATTAAGTTAATACCAAACCTATAAAGTCTAATGAGGTGATCACTTTTTATGAAGAAACTGTAAATGAATCTTATCCAGGCTCGTAAATGCTGTCCCCTCCTCACCCCTCTTAAGTTTTTTACGGAACAAACGGTTTTATAGGACATCAATTTGAATTTCATATAGAAAGCATAAGTGTTTACTTCAGACTCTCAGATAGCCCTGATTATGCTGTTATATACAAGTTATAGGTATCCAGCTCATGAGACACAATACTACCACCAACATTAAAGGTATACACGGGTTGAAACTAGAATCTACAGATTTTGAGACAACAGTGTAAGAATATGACGACTACCAGTTACAAATCAAAATAATCTTTCTAAAACTCTCTTTATCTAAAATAAACAATTACCTCTCCATGTTTTAATTTGATGCTTTTCTAACTCAGTCATTGGTTGATCTGGTGAACGATAGTACCGATGTAATATGCGTATGAAATCCGTAATAGTCAACATGCCAATATGTTTCTGTTCAGTGGAATCCCATAATATAGCTACACGTACACCATTGTAAACTAAAGCGAAAAATGCTTTCTTTACCTATGTATAGAGAGGAGGAAAATAATCATTAATGATGATCTAAGAATATAGGAAAGTGAACGAAAAATGAATGAATATATGCATACTTAATCACACTTACATTCAATGTCACATCGAATACGACTAATTTGGCACTCAATGGAATTAGATCATAACAAGTGTGATTTTTTAAAAATATTTTATAAGCTTTATCAGGATCAGCTGAAAATCAGAGAGAACAAAACGCATAAGAGCATTAACACAGGGAGAAAAATAAGAACAACAGCAGGACGTTCAGTTAAGCAATAACAAAAAAATGGGCATGAAAGATGATGAAAGTGACAAGGAATTCTGACGGGTAATTGAACAGCTGAAGTAGTTAACTCTCGATTGCTAGGCTTCTGATTCGAATCCTGATTATTATTTCATACAGTATAGGCAATCATTATCCCAGACAGAAGAAAATCGTTGATAGACATCGATTAAAAGTAAAATTATCAATAACTGCTCAACTAACATTTCATTGTACTTTGGTTAATCCAGTTATCATTTATTCCTGTGCGTGATACTACTGTATTCTGATAACTAATTATTTACATAGTTCTGAAATGTATTAAATGGTGAATTTCGTTTGAAGTTATAATTACTTAAATGTAATTATTTAACACTGTAAAATAAATCTGTACATAGTGTTATTTATGCTTCACAAATCAACTTCGTCTTCTAAATAATCGGAGTCTAACTAAGTCAAGAACATTGAGGGCATAGTTACTTACTTACTTACGCCTGTTGCCCCCCAATGTAGCATAGGCCGCCGACCAGCATTCTCCAACTCACTCTGTCCTGGGCCTTCTTTTCTAGTTCTATCCAATTCTCGTTCATTTTTCTCATATCTATCTCCATTTCCCGGCGTAATGTATTCTTTGGTCTTCCTCTCCTCCTTCGACCTTGAGGATTCCATATGAGGGCTTGTCTTGTGACGCAGTTGGGTGCTTTCCTCAATGTGTGTCCTATCCACTTCCAGCGCTTCTTCCTGATTTCTTCCTCCACTGGGATCTGATTTGTTCTCTCCCATAGTAAGTTGTTGCTTATAGTGTCCGGCCAACGGATCCGAAGTATTTTGCGTAGACAACTGTTAATAAACACTTGTATCTTTTGGACGATGGATTTCGTAGTTTTCCAGGTTTCCGCCCCATACAGTAGAACTGTCTTGACATTTGTATTGAAAATTCTGACTTTGGTGTTGGTTGCTAATTGTTTTGAGTTCCAGATATTCTTCAGTTGTAGATATGCTGCTCTTGCTTTGCCAATCCGTGCCTTCACATCTGCATCAGATCCACCGTGTTCAACGATGATACTGCCCAAATATGTAAAGGTTTTTACATCTTCCAAAGCTTCTCCGTCAATTGTGATTGGATTGGTACATGTTGTGTTGTATCGAAGAATCTTGCTTTTCCCTTTGTGTATATTGAGACCTATTGCTGCTGAGGCTGCAGCTACACTGGTTGTCTTCTTCTGCATTTGTTGTTGTGTATGCGATAGAAGAGCCAGATCATCTGCGAAGTCTAGATCATCCAATTGCATCCTAGCTATTCACTGTATCCCGTGCTTCCCTTCAGATGTTGATGTCTTCATGATCCAGTCGATCACCAGGAGAAAGAGAAAGGGTGACAGTAAACAACCTTGCCTGACACCGGTCTTTACTTCGAACGACTTTGTCAACTGTCCTCCATGCACGATTTTGCAGTTTAATCCGTCATAGGAATTCTGTATGATATTGACTATCTTCTGAGGCACGCCGTAGTGTCGAAGAAGCTTCCATAGGGTTGTTCTGTCCACGCTATCAAATGCTTTTTCGTAGTCGATGAAGTTGATATAGAGTGATGAATTCCATTCAATTGATTGTTCCACAATGAACCGTGGAGTTGCGATTTGGTCTGTGCACGATCTATCCTTACGGAATCCTGCCTGTTGGTCTCGAAGTTGGGCGTCTACGGAGTCCTTCATCCTGTTTAACAATACCCTGTTGAAGCGTTTTCCTGGTATTGAAAGAAGAGTGATTCCCCTGTAGTTGTCACAGTTGCTGAGATCGCCTTTCTTTGGTATTTTGACTAGAAGTCCTTCTTTCCAGTCTTTTGGTACCTGTTCCTCATCCCAGATCTTTCTGAAGAGAGTTTGGAGTATCCTTGCAGTTGCCGCTACGTCTGCTTTCAGTGCCTCTGCTGGAATGCTGTCTAGTTCTGCTGCTTTGCCACTCTTGATTTGTCTGATAGTCATGCTGATCTCTTCAATTGTTGGTGCGCCAACATCAATTGGGAGGTCCGTGAGTGCTGCTTCGATGTTGGGTGGGTTCAGTGGGGCTGGTCGATTCAAGAGTTCTTTGAAGTGTTCTACCCACCTGTTCCGTTGTTCTTCAATGTTGGTGATTATCTTGCCTTCCTTGCTTTTCACTGGTCGTTCTGGTTTACGGTGATTTCCAGAGAGTTTCTTTGTTGTGTCATACAGATGTCTCATGTTTCCTTCTCTGGCAGCCTTTTCCGCCGTCAATGTCAAATCTTCCACATATTTACGTTTGTCAGTTCTGATGCTCCTTTTCACTTGCTTGTTTACTTCTGTGTATTCAGCCTGTGCCTTGACTTTTTCTGCTCTTGTTCGACTGGTATTGATTGCTGCTTTCTTGTTTCTCCTTTCTTGAATCTTATCCAGTGTATCGACCGTGATCCAATCCTTGTGATGGTGCTTCTTTTGGCCCAGAACCTCATGACATGTTGAAGTGATTGCCTCTTTTATCTCTTTCCAGTTGCTCTCCATAGTAGTTCCTTCTCCATTGAGTAGATCATGAAAGGCTTGGAACTTATTGCTGAGGGTTATCTTGAATTTATTGAGTTTGTCATTATCCCGAAGAAGAGACGTATTAAATTTTTGTGATATTGTCCGCCCCGTTGTCCAGTGCCTCTTGAGTTTCAATTTTATCTTGGCGACCAGCAAGTGATGATCTGATGCTATATCAGCTCCTCTCTTTGTTCTCACGTCCTCCTGAACTTTTTGTTGATGCAGATATGGTCGATTTGGTTCTGTGTGGTGTGATCCTGTGAAGTCCATGTGGTTTTGTGTATGCGTTTATGTGGGAATATAGTCCCGCCTATGACCAGTTTATTGAAGGCACATAGATTTGCAAATCTCTCACCATTTTCATTCCTTTCACCAAGTCCGTGTCGTCCCATGATCTCTTCATATCCGGTGTTGTCAGTTCCAACCTTGGCATTTAGGTCTCCCATTAGAATAGTCACGTCTTTTGTTGGGCACTTCTCGACGATTGACTGCAGCCTATCGTAGAATTGATCTTTAGCGTCTTCATTGTAGTCATTGGTAGGCGCGTAGCATTGGATGACGTTCATTGTAATCCCCGTTTTCTTGGTTTTGAAGGAGGCTTTGATGATCCTTGGTCCATGAGATTCCCATCCTATAAGTGCATTTTGTGCTTGTTTGGACAGCATCAATGCAACTCCTTGTGTATGTGGAGCATTTTCTTGTTCATGTCCGGAGTATAACAGCAGCTCCTCTGAAGCTAGTCGTTGTTGTCCAACTTGCGTCCAATGTGTTTCACTGATCCCAAGCACCTCTAAATTGTATCTCCTCATTTCTGCAGCAATTTGGAAAACTCTCCCAGTCTCCCACATTGTGCGAGCATTCCATGTACCTAAATAAATGGTTGCTCTGGTTGTCAGAAGGGGCATCGGCCTCGTGACTTCCGAAGAAACTCGGCTTTCATCGTGAGGCGTCATAATTCTTCTAAACGAAGACCTTCTGACTCCCAGGGCAGAGTTTAAATAGTTTGAATAATTTTTTCTGGTTAGCGTTTTTTTAGCGAGTTAGTTTTCTACGGGATGGGGTCGCTAACCCCATGCCCAACCCTCCTCCTTTATCCGGGCTTGGGACCGGCAGTAGCCCCCGGAAAGGGGCTCCAGGCGGAGTTTGAGGGCATAATACTAAAGTGAAATCAGGGGTGTTCAATAGTTCAGACTACTATTACGTTAATATATTTCGAACTGCGTAGAAAGTTACATGTTATAACAGGAACAATGAATTCTCATCTGATCCAAGATATAACAAACGTCTGAACTAATCGATCATATGTTTTCTGGTCCTCAATGCTGACTACGAACTGAAAAGTCAAATAATAACGGTTTTTACATGTTTAAATTCCACGAAAAGCATCGTTTCCCTTAAAATTACAAATTTAGCTTATTGATTAGTGGCAAACATACATTCAGAGTTATTTATTAATTGCCATCAACCAGTTCACACTATACATATATACGTGCTGAACTTACATAATTCTTCAACATGCACAAAAGTAGCTGGTGATTCAGTACCCTGAAAATGAATAAAGAAATTTTTTTTAAAAATGGAATATTTAACTGCTTTAACTAGAGAATGGTAATATAATTGAAATATCAATAACTAATGAAACCAGTTTTATTTCTCTTTCGAGTTCATCAATTGACTATGATTGCATCTCAGTCATATATGCTAACATTATTTCCAGTAAGATTTAAACTTATCACAGAATTTTACATCGGTTTTCAGGAGAACCAGACACCGTCCAGACTTTCACGTGACAACACAAATAGTACAGCCCAAGCCCATTTAACAGGAGAGCCAGACACTGTATAGGCTTTAACGCTACAATCTGAATAGTACAGCTCAATCCTGTGGCGCAACCACACAGGTACCAAGCACCCCCAAATGCCCTGGCACGGCCGAGAGTGGGGAGAGTTCGCTCTCCCTCTCCAAATGCTCTCACATGGCCATGCGTATATAGCCTCTGCCAGGGAAGTCCTAATCACTATCTTCTCGTGGTGGGGGTGTTATTTACGAAATTGAGAGGATGAAAAGCGAATGTCTGGCGCTTTAACCGGATCCAAAACCAATGGTGCACATGGGCTCCAGTATCCTGCGGGAACAAATGGCGTACGAACCAATCGTTGGTCACCGGCTACCATGGGACTGCATCTCCTCACAATGCTCCACTGTCTTATGGGTCAGACATTTAAGTCAAAGGCTCGAGGTGTGGCCCCCTAAGAAAACCACCTGGTTCGGTTTGAGCACCCGTGCAGTATCACAGTCCTCACACATACCAAATGAGATTTGCGTGGCGCATATGTATTTGGTGCCACCCTGTACCAATATCTATGTGTTAAAATAAATAAATATCAAAGAATTAGCACTTAGCTCAGTTACAATAACTAATCATTTTACAACGGTTACATTGATTATTGGTAGAGCATTTTATTACAGATTCATCAGAAAAATTATAGACACCCTTAATACTTAAGACTTGTTTTGACAGTTTAGACACTGAACATTTAAGTCCTGTTTTAATTTAACGATTTTTGAGCACTAAGAAACTATTGTTGGTCTGTGCACACACCAGTGGCTTATAATAAACTATGTAACCGAATATATGATGGCTCCATTTGCCTTTTGGTATTAGTATACATATTTCAACAAACCGATGTATTCGCACATGACTTTTGTACTATTCTGAAAATCCTCTATAGCAATACAAGCCAGTAAGATCAAACCTGAAGACTGCAAGAATATTGTTTTCTTGATCAGTCGCTTAATTTTAGAAATTAGCAGCGTTAATCCTGATCAACGTAGCTCAGTAATTAGAGCACTTATACCTCAATCAGTAGGTCATGGGTTCATACTCCGCTCCAACTACTTTACGGTTTGTAAAGTTAAGTAGTGTTACAAGTCCCACAAGAATCATGTGACTCAAAGGTGAGTAAATAAGTTTTCATTATCAAATGAGTTACAATAATAGCCATAAATAACCTACAGCCCGGTAGAAAAATGTGTTGCTGTAACAAGAATAGCACGAGATAAAATCAACAAGATGAATATCAACCGAAATTTAATGGTGCAGTAGTGGCAAGGACAATAAGAAAGAATGAACACTAAAAACATAGTACAAAGAGACGGAATGAAACAGTACGTACGAAGAAATATTGGGATCTAATAGTTGAAGAACGAACAAGAGTGAATAGGTCTGTTGTAACTAATTCTAATTTATGTCACCCAAAGCCCCGAAATGCCCTGGTACGGCCGAGAGTGGGGAGAGTCCGCTCTACCTCTCGAAATGCTCTCACATGACCACGCGTACATAGCCCCTGCCAGGGAAGTCTTACTCACTGCCTTCACGTGGCGGGGGTGTTGTTTACGAAAATGAGAGGACGAAAAGCGAATGTCCGGCGCTTTAACCGGACCCCAAACCAATGGTGCACATGGGCTCCAGTATCCTGATTTATTATTTATTTATTTATTTTAACACATAAGTATAGGTACAGGGAGGCACCAAATACATATGCGCCACACAAATCTCAATTGATTTGTGTGAGGGCTGTGATACTGCTCGGGTGCTCAAACCGAACCAGGTGGTTTTCTTACGGGGCAACAACCCGAGCCTTCGACCTGAACGTCTGACCCACAAGGCAGTGGAGCATCGTGAGGAGATGCAGTCCCATGGTAGCCGGTGACCAACGATTGGTTCATACGCCATTTGTTCCCGCAGGATACTGGAGCCCATGTGCACCATTGGTTTGGGATCCGGCTATAGCGCCGGACATTCGCTTTTCGTCCTCTCATTTTTGTAAACAACACCCCCGCCACGAGAAGATAGTGATTAGGACTTCCCTGGCAGAGGCTATATACGCATGGCCATGTGAGAGCATTTCGAGAGGGAGAGCGGACTCTCCCCATTCTCAGCCGTGCCAGGGCATTTGGGGGCCCAGTATCCTGAAGGAACAAATGGCGTATGAACCAATCGTTGGTCACCGGCTACCATGGGACTGCATCTCCTCACAATGCTCCACTGCCTTGTGGATCAGACGTTCAGGTCGAAGGCTCTGGGTGTTGCCCCCTAAGAAAACCACCTGCTTCGGTTTGGGCACCCGAGCAGTATCACAGCCCTCACACAAATCAATTGAGATTCGTGTGGCGCATATGTATTTGGTGCCTCCTTGTACCAATACCTATGTGTTAAAATAAATAAATAAATAAGTCTCCAACAACTGATTGTGGTTACCACACGAATATTAACCAGGTAGTTTGAAGCTACCAACATGGCTTAGTGCAGTAAAATGAGAAACCTGTCTTTAGTGTACTACTAAAAGCAGAGTGGTGGCTCAGTGGTTGTAGCGTTTGACATTCAGCCACTAAGTAATAGCTTTGCAACCCACACCACTTCAGCTTGGGCAATCGCGTAGAATTATCAGTCCTCACACTCGAAATGTGCCTCATATCCAAGTACCTAGTGAACGAGTTAGTTTTTTATTTACTATTATGAATCTTGATTGGAAAAGCAGACAGAACTTTGGACAGTAACTTCTGCAACCGATCACTAAGTTTGATTATTGTAGATTTGTGCCACGTTTTATGTTGCCAGTACCTATGACTGTGACTAGTATTAATGTGAACTATAAGTATCTTAAACATAAGCAAAAACGATATATGTTGGTACAACTGTGCAGCGCTGCAGGCAGAACAATCGCAATTCAACCAGGAAACAATTCGAGGATAGGGATGAGATGTCAAATAACGAAACTGTTAACATTTAACTAAATAAGAATTACGAATACATGTAAACTGCCGTTTCCAGTTTAAAAGCCTACTGCTTATAGTATTTGATGGTCATCAACACTGCAAGACCTAGTGCGGATGTGTATCAGTTCAAGTTGTGTGCCGCATATATATTTGGTGCTCCCTTGTACCAATATTTATGTGTTCAAACAAATAAATAAATAAAATTAAGTTGCCATATTTTACATCCAAATAGTAACATGAATAGTCAATCCTCAAACTATCAATCAAATACTACATGAACCTATGGAATGACCTAGTTTGAGAGACCCTGGCCTTTTTTAAACCTACTTTCAATCCAGTTAGCATTGAGTATTGAAATAAGCAGTGGCTTGCCATACGTAATTCATGTCCCAGCCACCTCAAGTAGTGAAAATCAGTTTATTCAACATATTTTTCATCTCACTTAGTTCTCCAAAATGTGACTTATGCATTGTTTGCACTATTGTTTCAAAAATGTTTGTGACCTGACACTACTAACCTGCCCATGTAAACTAGCTTTGAAGAGCATTTCTGTGGTTGACATTAACTAACCCTTCTTTCTATCTTCAGAACTGACAAAATCTAGCACAGTCGGTAGTAAGAATTTGAGCCTTCACCGTCAATCGATTGCTCCTGTACATCTATATGACTTGCTTAGGAAGGCAAGACTTCAGTAAACAATCATATTGATATTAAAGAGGAAGAATTTATTTGTAAAATTTCAACGAAAGAATTTGAAGTAAATCCAACGTTTCGCCTGGCAATCTGGTCCAAGCTTTCTCAAGGAAATATCATCATGTTGATAGTTTTCGTAACAGTCAAATAAACATATTCTGGTGATAGCTGTGGTCAAGTTTGTCAGTCAATCTAATCAGTCCAATGAAAACAGATAGATAGACTTATACTCAGCACTCTGAGCGACGTACTGAAAATCAGATATTTTCTTGTTCTTTATAATCAAATATCTTTTTGTGCAGTAAATTAACTATATATATACATGGTTGTAAGCAGTGACGATAAACCACGAAATATAATGAATTCATATTATTCTGCATCAATATTTGTTCTAGCTTTATTTAAAGCCCTGATAATGGTTATTGACTACCTGTCCGTAATCGCTGAGATTCTAAGTACTGGAGAATAGACATAACAATAAATATACGTACAATCTTATAAATCAGTGGGATATAATAGGGTAAGTATTAATTTCGCTACTTTCACGTAAAAAAAATCCCAGAATGAAAGTCGAATAATGCTTACACCATTGCAGCTAAATTTTGTACTCCAAAAGGTACACCCAATGTAACAAAATAAAATCACATTACACCAAGCAAACATTAAAGTTACTGATTTCTGCATTCCGACACTTAAGATACCTAATTCCCCAACTTTTACGATAATTCTGTCAGTTTTCGGTGAAATTGGTGGAAACTACAATAGAACGTTTTAAGGAAACAGCACACAAAACCCTAGATTTTCTCAGGCCTGAATAAATCCCAAAGCTTTTTGTGTACATTGTGATGTTTTCCCCAACACCTTACCCAAAGTTTGATGGAAACTACGGATTTTCATATGGATTTGGAGAAGACTACAAATTTTCTCTAAAATTGGGAGACTGGGATGCACATCGAAATTCCACTAGACTACTGAAACCTAACTCTCGTCAAACAATACAACAATATTAAGGTGGCGATGCGATGATAATTGCTTGTTACTACAAAAACAACAGAGCAGAAAATATTGGAAACTGAGACTTTCATTCGGATTCCTTGGACTATAGAGATTACGTTCAAAAACAAAGCATCTTACTCGTCATATAGATAAACTTTGCAGATACAGACCTTACAATTGTCCCAAACAACCATATACTTTTCGCCGCTAACGCTTTTGTTGCGCACGCGACCTTCAGTGTGAGGACTATTGTCCATAGGAAATCCAGTGACCTTGTGATCTGAACCAGGCGCTTTAACTATGCACTTCAATCCTCACACTTTTTAAGCAAATCTAAAAAACTCAGTGATCCCTGGTATTGATTAAGTCTAGACGGCACATATTATTTTTCTCAATATGTGCTAATGTGCGACTTACGAGAACTTCTTTGATCCTTCATTGATTACGATATTGTCACTTGGACAAGGTGAGTTACCTACGGGCTGGGTCAAGACAACTTCCATCAAACTACAAACATATCAACCTCACAAGTGTTATGAACAAAGTACTGTAGAGAATAAACAAAAAGGTTGTAATGACATTCGTGGAAGCCAACAATTCGTTAAATGACGAACAACATGATTTCAGGAATGGATTATACTTCACAACAAACATTATGGCAAAAAAGTAATAGACTGAAAGCTCAGATAGTAAAAAATCACTGAGTATTATTTACTTAGACTTCAGCAGAGAAGTTATTAAAGTGCCAAAAAATAGACTACTATTGTAACTGGAAAATCCAGGTAATAACTGACCTCTACTAAAATGGATTAGCGATTACTTGGTAGGTAGCAGAAAGGAAGTAAAAGTAAATTTCAAGTGCTCCTCCTGGAAAACAGTGCTTAGTCTGGTGCCGCAAGGCTCTGTTCTACGTCTTTTACTTTTTATATCGTATGTAAATGAACCCTCAAGTATCTTTGAGCAGCATGGTTTTAGAATAGGTTGTACCCGTCTCACTAACTTATTAGTGCCTCGTGAAAACTGATGTGCTCTTAAAGACCTAAAGTTGCGTATAGAAGTAGCCTACATTGACTCCAGAAAAGCTTTCGACAAAGTTCCTCATGACCGGCTGTTATATAAGTTAAGAAATGTCAAGCTTGGAGTCGGTTTATTAGTGTAGATAAAAGACTTTATATTTGGGCGCCAACAGAGAGTACGGGTGAACTCCAACTTGTCCAGATGAGAAACTGTGCTTAGCGGAGTGCCCCAAAGTACAGTTTTGGGGACGATGTTATTTCTCTTGTATGTAAATGACCTTCCTGTTCTTCTATCACTATCAGTCTTGCTATATGCTGACGATGTCAAGATGAGGAGAGTGATAAGAAGTGAAGGTGATAGCTTAGAAATTCCAAATAACCTGGAGGAGTTACCTGAATGGTCTAAAACTTGGAAGTCGCCGATAAATGCTTCCAAGTGTATTGTGATGCCTATCGGTCATCAAGGTACATATACATCCATGATGAATAACACTGAGCTACCTGTTGTCCAGATACACAATGACTTAAGAGTCATCGTTAGCCAGGGCTTATAAACTGCTGCCCCCTGCCCTTAAATAGCCACCAAGGGTTTCGGAACCCTATGATAGGGTCTTTAGCCATGTCGGCGCTAAAACTTTTTCGACTTTGAATACAGTATTCGTGCGTCCTAAACTTGAGTTATGCTTACAAGTGGCTAGCCACTGCACAAAAGACTGTGAGTTTTTGGAAAAGGTTCTGAAAACAGCGACCGAGCTGATTCCCGGAGTAGCCAAGTCCCTATATGACGCTCGACTGGCCAAACTAAACCTATTCCCGTTATCATATCGCACAACTAGAGGTGACCTGATTACAGTTCTCAAATTACTTAGTGATAAATTTGAACCTGATATACCCTCATTATTTTGTCTTCCAAAACAGAAGATTTACGGGGACCAGGACAAGACCAAGACAACTTCCACCGAACTACAAACCTCTAAGCCTCACCAGTGTTGTAGCTTAAATAATGGGAGGAATAGTCAAACAGATTATAATGATATTTATGGAAACCAACAACTTGTTAAATAACGAACAACATGGTTCAGAGAGGGTTTATCTTGCACAATAAACCTCCTTATAGCAAGGGATCATTGGATAATGGCCCTGGACAATGCAACCTTAGTGGATGTTGTCTACATAGACTTCATTAGGGCGTTTGACAAGGTGCCAACAAATAGACTGCTATTTAAGTTAGAAAATCTTGGTATTGCTGGATTTCTATTAAAATTACTTGCTAGTACGCCGTAGACAGAAAGTAGGAATAAATTCCAAGTTCTCCACCTGAAGACCACTACTTAGTGAAGTACCTCAAGGTTCTGTCCTAGGTCCTTTACGTTTTATACTGTATGTTATTGATCTCCCAAGTATATTACAGTCCCAAATGTTATTATACGCTGACAATGTAAAAATCTGGCAAGTAATAACGGGAGACGCAGATGCATGCGCACTTTAGGCAGACTTAAATAATCTAATTTACTGGTCTTAAGAGTATCTGATGCCTATCAACGCGGCAAAGTGTGTCTACATGCACTGTGGGGATACAAAGATTAATAGGAACAGCATATGTGAAGTACCAGTACCCTTAGTCCAGTCCAATAGGGATCTTTTGGTGACAGTGAGTCATGATCTTAAGACGATGGCCCATTGCCGAGAGGTCGCAGCCAAGGGGTTTAGAACACTATGGGCTTTAAAACGGAAATTCCTTAAATTAGATACCACCATGTTCACCACAGTATACACAACCATAGTGAAAACTAAGGTTGAGAACTGCGTTCAGATTTCGAGCCCCTGTTTAAAAGGTGACCCGAATATCCTGGAAAAATTACCGAGGGCAGCTACTTGTGCTATTTCAGAACTTTAAGGTTTACCACAAAACGAGCGGCTTGAAAAGCTGGACAAGGAGGTGATTTAATTTTGATGTATAGAATAATATGAAATTATTTTGGACCTAATATATTCTCTCTTTTTCTTCCCACTAGATCAGAACATCTCAGAGTACATACCAGGCTAGTAGAAAAGCTAATAACGAACAGAATACTCGTGGCATACAGGTTTTCACACTGAGTCATCAATTCTTGGAACCTGTTACCCGAAGCATTGGTGTCCGCACCTTCAATTGACTCATTCAAGAGAAGACTGGACACTCATAGAAGCATAATAATAATCCTCATCTGTTAGGAATATCTGAAACTTGGATATCCTATTAATTTACGAACCTGGGATGTCTTTGTTTCGCAAGGACAGAAAAACAGGGATTGATGGCGGAGTATCCTTATACTTACAATCCTGCCTGGAGGTACATTAAGTGAACAGTCAAGAGTTCATCAATCTTGGTGAATCTGTATAGTGCACAGTAAGATTGTCTACCACTTTAGGGTGTCTAGTTGGAGTTATCTACAGGAAGCCCACTGCTGACATCGAGTAAGACAGTCGTATGCTGGAGGGATTATCCCGCTATTTGAGTTTTATATTCACTCATATCCTGATTTCAAAGGACTTCAATCCTCCTAAAGTTAATTTCGCTGAAAACACGTATGAAGGAGGTGAAAACTATACTAAAGCTCGGTTCCTTAACATCATTGAAGATCTGGGATTGTTTGAAAATGTGAAGTCGGCAACCCGTTGGAGAAACAGTCAGACGCGTAAAGGCAATACAAACATCTAAGGAACATGTGCACAAAGGCAATGAGAGAAGACATGCGACAGTATACATGACTATTTATTATCCTTAAACTTTTTTCACCTCAACAGCACGGTTTCAAAAAAAAGTCATTTTTATATAGGAAACCTGCTGACTGCGGTGGACAGATGGACGTCTTTTGCCTTGACTTCTCAAAAGCTTATAATGATGTCAACCGCATATGTTTCATCAATACTCTATCTAAGTTTGAAAAAGATTTAGAAGTGCTGTTACCCTATGACTTGAAGTCTTAAGCTAACTACACTGGTAACATTGAGGCTCATTTTTGGCCAGTTTGACGGAAAAACTTTCCACATAATCTTCAACAGTTTTATTCGTCCCCATTTAGAGTACAGAAACATAGTATTTTCTTCCTCAATCCAAAAGGATAATGACACTCTGGAGCTTATCCAACGACGAGCCACGAAGTCAGTTAGGGGACTCAAATTCAAACCTTATGAAGAGCGCATCTGTTCACTAAATCATTACCCATTAGAGTATAGGCAACTTAGAGGTGTCCTTCTGATGGCACACAGCATCCTTAACAATTCTGGACGTCCCCTCAAACACTTACTCAGGTGTAGCTACAACACAATCCCAAGGGATAAATTCCAGAAACTAGAGACACAACACAGCAGAACGGACTATAGACACAACTTCTACTCCTTAAGAGTTGTCAAATGCTGGAATTCGCTGTCGGCTGAGTTAGTTCAAGCGACTTCACAGAAGTCCTTCAAGAGGTAACTTGACATATTCTTAAGGACTGAGGATAATGTCTTACTATGATCTACCAATTTCTTTTTCCTCTATTATAGTTAATATACCACCGGGAAGTATTGGTGATCCACTGCTACTAGACACAGAAGCCCTTTAACTGAAAGTTTCTTCTATTCCGTCCACAGCCATATGAACCATTTGATATCATGAATCATTACAATGGTAACAATTTCGTTATTTGATGAATGGAGGCTATCAGAAATAGTGCAGCTAAACTCAAATTCAAAATTGTCTTGATATGACCGCTTCTGCAATGCCATTAGGATTATCGGTATTACACACCAATCGTTTTTTCGCGGCTATTTGAAGATACAGTGGTATGCTTACATGCTGAGTAAATTTTACTGTTTTGATCGTTTATTATGTATCAAGACTACTGTTTACACTTTGGATGAATTTTTTAAGTTAAAGTATCCGCTAAGAGTATCGTTTTTGTTTCCAAAGTACTTTATCGTCGGTGCTTTTGAGTACTGTTTCATTAATTAAGAGCCCAAGCTGCCAATTTTGGGGAAATTTTGGAGAAGCCGCCATTATAAACATTGGGTAAATTTTCGGGAAATGGCACAAAAACTCAAAAATTTCCCGAAACCTTGGGGTTTTTCCCTTAATATTCCTCACACTTTGGGGTACTTCTACCGAACCGTTTTAACACAAAACTTATACCGAAATCTGCGGACATCACGAA